AGAAAGAGACTAAAGAAGGTCGATCTGATGACCTTGCTAAGCATTCAGGATTCCTGAATCCAGTAGTTTAGTGAAGTCTTTCCTCGGTTGCTTTGTGTTACCGAATTTTGTTTTTTTTATGGTAATCGTATTTTTGGTTGTTCTATGACTCTAAGCCTATCGCTTGCACTGCTTAGCGCACCTATGCGTGCATGATAAATAAATAAATAAATAAATAAATAAATAAATAAATAAATAAATATGATATATGATAGTTACACTTTCTGCTGTGTTGCTTCTGGACAATAAGCTGATTTCTAGGAAATTAATACTGCTTTGAATTGTAGAACTGCTAGAGATCATCGAGGTAAATGGTACAGTGGAAGGATAAGCTGTTGGGAGTAAGTTCTGTAATAGCCTCTGCTTGATGTATGGACAATGAACACTGGCCCAGATCCGTTCTGCTGCGGTTTCTGCTAGCTCCTACTCTCTTATTCTTCACTTTGAATTTTCACGATTATAGATGAATAGAAATTGGAATCAATAATGATTTACTAAAGAAAATCGCTCCGCATCGCTGTATCACGTTAGGCGCACAGTAGTGTGCGCCAGCCCGAACCGTCAAGTAATATAACGGGAACCTTTGAATTGCTGAGAAAACCAAAACGCTTACCCATTCGTGACACTTCTTCTGCAGTGTTGGAGCGAAGTCTGAAGACATTTGCCCGATAGCATTGCATGCAGCGTAGCGAACGCGGGGATGCTGAAAACAACAATCAGAAACATCCCAAAAGAACTGAAATGTAGAAGAGGCATCTGGCTTTTTTGTAGGAAAGAAATTTCCAAGAAAGATATAGTGAGAGGCTCGTTCGATGTTCGAACCTTTGTTCACATTTTCTTCTCTACCACGAATGATGCTGGGATGTCATTACTTATAATCACCCTATATATACCATTTTCACTTTAAATCGGACACTTTTCAAATCGAATTTCAAAAATCGGACACTTTTCAAACCAAATCGGACACTTTTCAAACCAAATCGGACACTTTTCAAACCAAATCGGACACTTTTCAAATCAAATCGGACACTTTTCAAACCAAATCGGACACTTTTCAAACCAAATCGGACACTTTTCAAATCAAATCGGACACACCCCTTAAGGTGGTTGATAACTAGACCACACTAGGTACTGTTGCAAGCTCCGCCCCATTATCCCCGCCCATTTCTCAGCAGACAGGGTTTTCCGAGATGCTTCATGAAATCTGCTCCCTCGGCTTTTTTCGTTTTTGCCCTTTGCACACACACTTCAACTGGAAAAGGTTGATACCATATATATACAGATCTGACTCCGCCCACTTAACAATGAAGTTACGTAGCTGAATTCTTATAACATTTTCCGACATAGTTCTTTTCACATCCATCTTCACAAACCATGCACAGCACAACAGGCCCCGCCCCCTGACCCCGCCCACTTGTGTTTATCGCGGAATTTTGGCTTTTTCTTCCGGATTTTCGCTTTTTTAGGCTTTAGCGATTGGCTCCGCCCACCAATGGAAGCTCCGCCCACTTTGGGGAAGCCCCGCCCACTTTTCAAAAATGATGCAAATCGGCGGGCTAGTGTCCGTTCTGGCGCATTACGGCCTCTCCCGGCACATAGAATAAAAAAGGAAAAACACCGGGAAAAAATGGAAACTTTGTTCTGTGCTGACGGGAGAGGCCGTAATCCGCCAGTAGGGACACTAGCCCGCCGATTTGCATCATTTTCGAAAAGTGGGCGGGGCTTCCCCAAAGTGGGCGGAGCTTCCATTGGTGGGCGGAGCCAATCGCTAAAGCCTAAAAAAGCGAAAATCCGGAAGAAAAAGCAAAATTCCGCGATAAACACAAGTGGGCGGGTCAGAGGGGCGGGGCCTGCTGTGCTGTGCATGGTTATTCGTTTTGTGAAGATTGGATGTGAAAAGAACTACGTCGAAAAAGTCATAAAAATTCAGAAGTTACGTGACTTCACTGTTAAGTGGGCGGTGTCGCGACGCGGCTCCCCGCCTGCGGTGGTTCCTGTAGGGAGGTGCGCGCCGTGTTGGGTCCCATGGCGTCCAAGGGGGGTCTCGCCTAGTATTGATCCATGCCACGCGGCAACGCGTGCGGTCCTCATCCCCTTAACCTGAATGCCTTTTGCGCCCGTTTGTGGTCCCCGAGATTTGGGCTTCTGCGGTCCCGCTAGTCCCATATTTTGAAGCATGCCACCTTAATAAACATGTCTACTTCATTATGAATCAATTGCGGGACATGCCATAACGCGGGCAAATCGCACTTAGCTGTAAAGTGGCTGTCAGCCAATATTGCCGCAGAAGAAACTACACATCAAATAACAATGAATGAGCAATGCATCAATCGTAAATAAAAAACGTGCTGAAACACGTGAAGAAAAAAAGGAAAAGGAAACATGCCGGAAGGTATCGTATCATTAATCAAACATCAAGAAACACCTAACAAGGCTAAAAGACCTACGTGCCGGCTCCCTGCGTTAAGACTGGGCCATGGAGGCTCTCCAGCTACCTGCGGTCCTGATCTTCTCCAATCCACTTGCGATATTCCTCAGACGAAGGACGGCGGGGGGTGCGCTAGACATAGTTGCCCCAGGGTGGCAACTGCGCAATCGTGGGACGACGGGCCAAGTCAGGCAAGGACGAGCCCGAGGCTCGTGGGTGAGGGGAAAGGGGGAGGAGAGACGACGATAATGAGCAGACGGACGAATGAGACGTAGAAACGGACGACTGCGAACTCCACTCGGCGACTCCAGCCCAAAAGACTGCTCGTGGGCCCAAAAATGGGGAGTTGCGTCGAATGGTCAGCGAAGAGACAGCTGCGCGGCGAGACACCAGTGCGGCCTGCGAAAAACGGTCCTTTAAACATAGCAGTTGTAGACAGCTGCGCGTGCTGTGTGTGCAAAGGGCAAAAAACAAAAAAAAGACTTGAGGAGTAGTTTCATGAAGCATCTCGGAAAACCCTGTGCGGGCTTGAGAAGTGGGCGGGATAATGGGGCGGAGCTTGCAACAGTACCTAGTGTGGTCTAGTTATCAACCACCTAATTGTAAGGGGTGTGTCCGATTTGATTTGAAAAGTGTCCGATTTGGTTTGAAAAGTGTCCGATTTGGTTTGAAAAGTGTCCGATTTAAAGTGAAAATGGTATATAATTCGCTTCGTCTGTTTGTTTGTTTGTTGTTTGTAAGTTTGTTTGTCTGTCCGGAAATTCGGTTCGACCTGAAGACGACTTGGAGAGGTCGGGTCAAGGTGGGGATGGGTAGGGCATGGGACAAGAAATAAAAAGCACACTTGACCTATGCGAAGCCCCGCCCACAGTGGGCGGGGCACTAACCAAAGCGAATTATGAGCATTTCTGTGCGGAACCTGGCTTTGGGGGTTCCGCACAAAAATGTTCATAATTCGCTTCCGGAGCAGCTCAAAGATGGGGAAAAAGTGGAATGAGGTTAGCAAGGAGTTGCCAGACTAACTGTGGGAGACACATCCAAAATGGGCGGGGCGTACTCAAGGTGGGCGGCAGTTCTCACAAATCTCAGTAACCCAAGAGTGTTTAGAAGTCGCGTGTGTTGAGACCCGCCCACAGTGGGCGGAGCTTGCCCTTAATCGCAGACACTCATTTTAAAAGTTTGTAGCTCAGTTCCAGAACACTCCAGAAACCGGAAAAAAGAGGATCAAGGTCAGCGAGGGCTGGGCCGATTGAGGATTGTGGGGCACAAACATTGTGGGCGGGGCCTGCTCCGAGGTGGGCGGAGTCACAAAAGATCTGCAAAATAGTTCCAGAACACTCCAGACACCGGAAAAAAGTGGATTAAGGTCAGCAGAGGGTCGCCCATTGAAAAATGTGGGGCATAAACGTTGTGGAGCCCGAGATGGGCGGAGCTAGAAAAAATTCTGTAAAATAGTTTCGGAGCACTCCAGACACCGGAAAAAAAGTGGATTAAGGTCAGCACAGGGTCGCCCATTGAGAAATGTGGGGCATAAATGTTGTGGACGGGGCCAGCCCGAGGTGGGCGGAGCCAGACAAAAAAAATCTGCAAAACGGTTTCAGAGCGGTCCAGACACCGTCAACATGTAAGCAGAGATGTGCAGGACCTCAACTGTTGGATATATGGCAAGAGTTGAGTTGTGGTGTGTTGTAACCCGCTCCCAGTGGGCGGAGCGCACGACGTACTTATTCTTACTGAGTTTTAGCGCGTATTCTGCCATACTCTTAACCCGGTCGTCATAGGTATTAGATTCCAGTCGGCTCGGCGGCTGATGCCAGCGCTCCTCCTCCTGTGATACGGCCCAAGTTGGCCGGACGGGCACGGCTTCGCCACACATTCCTTCCCCAGCTATTCTCTCGCCTGTGCCCATAATCGACGCACTTTAGTACCACTCCATACTCAGTAATAGTCAAAATAGCAGGGATGATGTGTCGAGAAGCTTTAACCATGAGTACAGAACAAAAGCCTGATATCAGTTGAGTCTAGAAATATGTGAAAGAAGGTACGCGCGGCGAAGCCGCGCCCGCCCGGCGCAGCCGGGCCGTATCAGAAGGAGGCGCGCCGGCGTCAGCCGGCGAGGCGACTGGTAATATAAAAAGCACAATCGCACCTTGTCATTCAAGAACGGAATAAGCTAACCCCAACAAAACAATACGACACACCCCGACAACCCAGAAATAAGTCTTGAATCCATAAGAACACACACTTGAATTTGTGGTAACACCCTTCGCACGCTGGCAGACTGCTCCAACAACCAACAATCCGGAGAACACATAAACAGAAGGTAGAAAGTCTCACCACACGCCACACCACAACATAACACTCTTCAAAAAGATTCCAATATTTATTCTGGATATATATATATATATATATATATATATATATATATATATATATATATATATATATATATATATATATATATATATATATATATATATATATATATATATATATATATATATATATATATATATATATATATATAATATGTTCACAATAGAATCTTACCTGAATGACGCAGCTTGCCTGTTAAAGCGACGAAAGACGAAAGGATGTACTTGCCGTTTAGTGCACAGGCTATTCTGTCTAACGCTGATTCACCAACAGCAACAGACCTAAAACAGCACTTATGGAAGAAGAAATGTGTCACAAGCGCACTCACTCTTCATCGTCTTCAGCATCGAGCTCATCCACTTCCAGCCACTCGTTCAAATCCATGGTGAGGTGAGTCATAAGAAGAAGCACAGCCTTCACTGAAAGTGAAATGACGCAGTTGTTTTTTACTGGTTGGTTTAGGCATCCTACCAACATCTTCCACCACGTCACGGGGATGAGCGACCAAATGCTGATGTGAAAATGGCTTATAACACAGAAAAAACGGCCCGAAATACCTCATATAGAACCTCATGCGGTATCGCGTTCATACGCGCATTAAACAAATAAGGGGCTTTGTCGGACGAATTCTCACATATTTGTTTGAGCCTTTCCTCTTATCACCACACTCTTAGCAATCGTAATGGAGAGTACTGCTAGCGGAACAATCACGCCACCCCGCGCCAGGATACCTTTAGAATAGAAAATTGGACGTTGCCTGGCCATGGGCGGGACCGTGGACTTGCACGAGCGGGTCGCGCTTTCCTCACGTATCTCCGAACTGCGAATGTACAGTGGGGGGGGAGGGCAAAAAAAAGACATTTCGACCGAGTCACATATCAGCAAAGTTTTCGCAGCCCAGACAGAGGACGTGGATACGAGTACCAGGGCGGAAGATACCCAAGATGTTCCTCTATAAGCAGGAGCTGGCTCTCGCCCATCACCTTCATGTACACCAAAATATGAAGTCATCTCCAGTCGCAGCCTGACTGGAGAAGACCTTGGAATTCATGTCACCTCCAAACAGCTGCGAAACTTCTAGTATGGAGTCACCCATGGATAGCTACCTGGAGACCAGTACTCTCGATCTGGATGACCTCCAACATCGAGCAGCTCCGACAACGTCGCCACGGTCTAGGACATCATCTTCACCTCAGTCGCCAAGGCGCCAGTTGATGGTGGGGACCGGACGTACCTGGAATGGAGAGATATTTTCTTCGTGGGCCCCGGACTAAAGGTGAGCGCTGGCGGTTACATCGAGCAACTCGAGAAGAATATCCTCTCCACATGTCGTCGCCCGTACCTTCTTGGAAACTACTGCTACAGGATTGGGTGACACCACATGGAAATGAAGGGCGTTGGAAAACTCTCGCCTACTTGGAATGGAAGGGCGTTGAGTACCTGAAGAAGGTGGAATATCTAAGCAGGTAACCTGACCTAAACCCCCTCAATTACCTGGTTCGGGCGGAGTTCAATAGGGTGGTCTACAGTGGCGGAGAAATCAACGATCTCGCTGAACTCACGCACCCACTGACGGTCGCGTGGCAGAATCTCTCGATGGCGCTCCTCCAGAAGGCTGTGGCGGAGTATCATGATAGTATTTAATATGCTCTTAATATGGTGGTAGAAATGTCCGATAAGAATTTAATAAAGTGTAACTTATAGCGCCTCGAAAGTCGAGGAAGAAAAGTCTTTTTTGCCCCCCCCCCCCCTGCAATACATTCTTCATGCTTACGTGCAGGACTATAATGACAGAAGAAGGCTTCCGAACATCGAAAGAACGCGAAGCCTTCCTTCAAATAGTATGCAGATCTTTCTAGGCGCGAATGCTGTAGTTGCTCGACCAGTTTTTTTCTTGCATGCAAAGGGTCGCATACCGATAATTAGGTTATCGCCTTACGAAAGAAGTATCTTTTCCAAGAAAGCTATGCAACGGTAAACCTCAAATCTCAGTGTCTCTACAAGTGCTGTTTAGCTTGCGTTAAGAAAATTCAAGTTTATCCCCAAGAGAAGCAAGAGGAACAAACGGTTTTCAATAAGAAACTACTACCAAAACTCAGTCGTTTTATCAGGAAGGGCAACCGGGCAATCACGAGTAAAGCTATGCTAAGTCGGTCAAACACCATCCTTTAACCTCCGGCACCTCTAGTACGTATTACCAGTGCCTGCTGAAGACGTGAACAAACTGAGAGAGACGGTTGGAAGTAACCCCCACCTACAAGTTCAGTGCGACCTCAGCCTTGGTGATGCGCTTTGGATTCATTTTATTACTTGTTTGTACAACAATGTGACAGGACTTCACTTACAAATGAAGAATATGCTCTGTGAATAGCGCTTTTTTAAGACAGCCGTAGAGTATTCACAAATTGTCGCGAGAACTTCAGTTGCCGAATGACGGTAGGCGTCATCTTTCTCAGTATTGAGAACACACTATAAAACGAGCACGTATTAAATAACACATAAGAAACCGAAGAAGCTCCTTGATAGGAGAGAATGACTCACCGCAATACACATTTCGAGGAAATTTGAAAGATGTGGGTTCACCATTTTTGGAGCAGCTGCTTCCAATTCGGAAAGACATTGCAACGGCGTGTCGTCTCCATCATCATGCGTGCATGTATAACGACATACCTCAGAATATTATGTTGACAACAAGTATTAGCTCGTGACCCTTTTCAGACATCAAACTCGAAAATATAAATGGAAAACAAAGTTTACCTCTACAACCTGGCTCATTAGTGGGGATAGATCCCTGACAAGATGATCGTCATCGTCATTTTCCACAATGAAAGTTACAAATGCTTTGAACGCTGACGAACGAATTTCAGAATCAGCACCTTTGAACAAAGCTGAGAAGGCATTCTAAAGTGAATCGATTATATCGTATGCGACGAATTTGTTATGAAATGTCGACCACTACACACAAATTTAGACATTTGAAAAACAATATGTGGTCCAAAGCTTTCTCATCCCGCAAAATCCGCGTTACGGGGCTTTTGTCTGACCGACATGCTCCCGCTGTGGAGGTTCAGAATTATTTTCCTGGTATTCACTGGCCAAGCAGTTGAAGGGACAAGGCAACTAAGGAGGGAATAGAGAGGGAAGCAAGGAAAAGAAGGAAAGGGAAAGGAGGCTCCGCGGTTGACAAGTATCCTGAGACGAAAAAAAGGTCGCCATTACAGCGCTGAGCCAATTTTGCAGATTGATCACTTTCACAGCATACAGCGCCTATTCTATTTCCAAAGTTTTTGCTCCAAAATGAACACCTTGTAGCCCTGTTTTTTCCTTTAGAACCTACTACTTAGAGACCTCAGAGGAGAATGTGAAGATTAAATAGGCGGTGCAAAGCGAAACTTATTCAACATACTTTGATACGAGGAATATAGCAGTCCTGCTCCGATCCAAAAATGTTAGGAACAGACCTGGAATGAAACGTAGTTGAAAAAAAGAAAAAGAAATGGAACGGGGGAAAAGGAAAATCAGACATACTACTCGTTCAGACTTCGCGATCGCTCGAGCGCAAGCATAAACGCTAGGACGCACCTAAACTAGACCCAGAGCAGAAGCAATTAAGGCTTTGCTGTTAATGAAAACTTCCAAGATAAACCACAACCCCTTGTAAATACTTCAATCTCGTTCAGAACGTGGGAAGCTCGCAAATAGGCATATTCTCGCCTCAGAAGTCGTAAACTGGATTCGATCCACATCTACTGTCAGAAGTTACCTTATCACATTAGCTATCTGCATGTGGAGCTTCAGTTCTATATATCCAAAAACTACCTTTTTCTGAGGAAATCACTTCGTTTGTCTCCTCGGTAAAATACCGAGAGTGACAACAGCATGGTTCCAGCTACCAATTTACAATGATTGCGGAAAATCAAAAAAGTGCTGCGTCCCAACATTGGGGCGCAATGTCACCAACGTGTTAAAACTGAAGGGGGTCTTACAGTGGAGTGCTCACCGGACGGTGGGGCGTTCCCTACGACCACGCCGGCGAGCGTTCCGCTGATTGCGTGACGATGGAAAGCCGAGAAATTCCAGGAAATTATCATCATTGCCCCTCCGTCTCTGACACTGACTCTGCGCTCTAACACACCCGCCGCGCCCTCTACTCACTCTTCCGTCCTGCACTCTCGCCGATCGATAATGCTGACGCTCTCGATCAGCTGATTCCTGCCGCATTTTCGCAGTATTTTTGCTAGATTCAGCTTGTTAAAGCTGCGAATTTTCGACTTTCGGCTTCAACCGTCAAAGGTGAGTATTTTTACTAAAATTGTATCACAATTTGCACGAATTTAGCTTGAAATTCCCTAGAAAACATTTTTTTCTTCTGATTTTTGCAATTCGTCCAAACTTTTCCTTATCGTCCCCAGTTTTTTTTATGTTATTGACCGGCTTTTCGAAGTAGAGTCTCAGATGTGATCTCGTTATTATCGAGAACCATCTTTGACTCTGTTTTGAAGCTCGGAGAGCGCACACTTGCTACATAATTCACTCCAACATTACCAAAAGCGGTTCACTATTAGACAATGAGAACAAGACGCAGATTCGAGGACAGAAT